GTGTTTCTTGGAAGACGGTGGCTCTACTTATTGGAGTGCACTCCATGCGGGCGTTTTAATATCGGGGGATTTTACAAGAACAAAGAAGACAAGCCCAGTTCAGTTTCCTCCTGGATGCGATTGGGAGAGATGGGCGTTTTCCATTATGGAAGGGAGTGGTGGATTTGACTAAATGAAAACGGAGACAAAATCCAATGCATACCAGAAAAAAAAAAGAATATAGCCAACGAAATTCAAAGGTCGGGGTAAGCTGATGGGAGTATTTGTGATATGTCAATCAAAAGTTAGTGTCACTGGTCCACATCCCTAGCACAGAGGAGAAGCTGTGTTGAACAGAGTTTTAGGGAGCCAGTGCCCGACCAGATGAATCCACCCAACACCACCACGCTACACAGCGGCACGTACAGCGGTGGAGATGTCACCTCTGATGCCATGCACTTTTTATCACAATAAAGAGGATTCGTAACTGCATTCCCAGTGAGGAAGGAAAATGGGCAAAGAACAAATGCCGGGCGAGGACACGAAGATGCAATGCAAGAGAAGCAAACTAAGGCAGCCTGAGAAATAACTTCTTGCTTGATAAACCCTGTACTTTTTGAATTTGGACACCGTGTGCTGGCAAAGTCTCAGGGAAATGGGTATCCGTGTACACAGCAGGTGGAATTGTAAATTCATTAAACTTTGTAGAAGGAAGCTTGGCAGCCGCTGTTAAGAACACACACAGCCTCCATATCCTTCCATCCATGTCCTGGAATTTCAATCAGTTTCAGAAGTTTACCTCAAGGAACCAGTGACGGATGTGTGCAAAGATTTTCACGCAAAAATGTAAGCAATGGGGTATTTTGGAAGAGAGAACTCCTTACAGATTTTAGGTTTCAATGATGGGATCAGGCAGGTGTTTAGGGGACTTTCTAGAAGGCCTACACCCAGAACCCAGACTTGACCACCATCTCACCGTCACATCACACACAGCAAAGCTGAAGGTCACATCACAGCCCCCTAAGACGCAGCCTCAGACGACCTCAGAAAATCTCTGGTTTTGCACCCGCCGAGGTTACCTGTTATGTCCCCACATGAATTCCTTCCTTCTTCCACTGGCTACTCATAGCTGTTCACGTGACACCCCAGAATAACGCCCGTTTTCCCAGTCTACCTTGAGCTAGCTGGGGCCACTCAGTTGAGTTCCTGAGTGGAGGTGATGTGTCCACCAAGGACCCATGCCTCCACGGAGTGGACAGTGCCCTCCCCTTGCCCCTGTGGGTTGCCACATGGATATGGTGGTTGCTAACTTGGAGCTCTGGGGTCAAGTTCAGTATCTCTGTGGTCACTCAGTCACAGGACAGAAGGAAGGTATTCCCCACCCCGCTGGAGCCGTGTCATAAGCCCCGGTTGCCCACATTCGGAAGGGAAAGTCAGAGACATGTGAACACCAGTCTCCTTAAGTTGGTGTGTCTTTTTTCTATAGCATCCAACACATTATCCCCTAACTCCCTCTGATGCCCGCCTTGCCTTCCTAAATTCATTGTCCACACGGAGACAGAGAGATCCCCTACAAACAAAGACTGGTCAGTGTCACTCTCATTCTGACGGCCTCAGAATCCTGGGACCCGCCGATCCGGGTTCTCCAGGAGCTCCCAGCCCCCACTGCTGGCTCTGACTGCAACTCCCTCAGCCATGGGCCTGGGCAGTTGGCTCTCCCCCTGCTGCCCTAACACTTCAGGGGTTTGTGTTGTCAGTGAACACCTGAATCCCTGTGTGGGTATCAGGTCTCCTTCAAATACTGCTTCATGAGCCCACACTGAAGCACGCCAAAGCAGTTTAATGAAGGCAGCCCTACCCCCTCCTCCCCCCGATGGCTGCAATCTCTCATCAACCCAGTCAAGGCTGACACAGAGGAGCTTCTCCTGGAAATGGAACTTGGAAGCTCTTGATGCGAGCCCGGCGAGTTGGGACCCTGAGACTTCACCCGGCTCCAGAGGGAGCTGCCGAGTCGGCGTTGCCAATATCTCAGCAGAACCAAGCGTCCGAAGCCGCGAGGATCAGTCTCCACACACCACCTCGCACTCTCCCTCTGTTACGAGACCAGGGCCGTGAGTGAGTCCCGTGCCTGAAATACTTGGCACTATTTCCGGGACACGGTACAGACTTTGCATCTTGCAACTGAGTAGTCATCATGTCAGCTCACATTTTACCGCAGGCGTGTGCTAGGCTGGGGGCCCTTGGCTCCCCTGGGGTGCTATCTCATCGTCACAGCAACCTTACAGGTAGGTTTTCTTTCCCTTCCCTTTCCTGATGAGGAAACCGAGGCAGGATGAAGATTCAGTGCGGCTGCCTCGCTGGTAAGGGGAGACCGTGACGTGCCTGTGCTGTTCTGCTCCTGCAGGTGCTTAGAGACACAGAAGAATGGAAACGCTAAGACCCAGGACGAGTGCCCTGGGAGCACCTGCCTGCTGCCATCGCCTCGCCATGCCTGTTCTCGCTTCCTCGCGACAGGCTGAGTCCTGAGCCACACTTCCTGCAAGTCAGTGTGGCCATGTGCTAACCAGACTCCTGCGAAGGCTTCTTGAAAAAGACAAGGGACTAACCTTATGGGAGCTGCATTTCTTACACAATTGCTCTTCAGAACACGGATATGGCTGGGACCCCAGCAGCCAACTCCACCCATGACATAATGGTGAGGATGGAATCCAGGCACCTGGCGTGTGAAGCTGAAGTGCATATGGGGTCTGGGTCTTGGAGAATGCAGGCACCACGCCTGCCCTAGACCACCAAGCTCAGGGGAGTTCCTTTACATACACGCAGGCACGTGCTCATGACATGGCCACCACCACGGGCTGAGGGGCGTGGGTGGGGAGAAATCTCCATTGCTTTCAGCCAATTGCAATCCTCAGTGGACATGGACACAAGGATCCGCGGGGTCTTGGCTGAGATTTTATGTAACCGCGTGGTATTACAGGTAGCACAGCAAGGCAGGGTGCAGACCGAGGAGGGTCCTGGGGGTCTGTGGGAGACAGAGGGGGTTCCTGCATGCTCCGGAGAACGCGGGTTTGGAGCAAGCATCAGGAGTGACTGGGCTGACCCAGGCAGGGGAACTGCTGAGAGAAGGAAGCCACGAGCAGATGGGCCTGGCTGGGCACTGTCGCTCCCCCTCTTCATGGAGGAACGACACAGGACCCTGCGCTGTTCTTTTGTCTGCTCGGCCCTCCCCGGGTTTGCTGCTGGTTCTTCCCGGGTTGGCTACCGTCCCTTCCACCTCCGTGGAAGGGCGGTTCCCCCTGGCCACTTTCCCCACTTCCGCAGGGGAGCGGCACACCGCCGGCCGGCTCTCTCGGGGGCTACTCAGGTGTTCCTTCAGATAGATGTTCCTGGTGGATGTTGTCTCTCTCCTCCTTTATAGTCCTCTTCCACCAATCCCAACTCTGCTACCCACACGCCGAGCACGCTGCTCTCCTCCAATCAGGAGCAAGATCAGCTCCTGCAGCTCAGTCAATCAAATTGGCGAGAGGCAGCTGCGTAGAAGCTGTTTTCTCCTCTCTCAGCGCCATATTGTGGGAGAGCAGATGCATAGAATAAGTCTTAATTCCAGTAACTTAGTCTAGTCCGAGTTGCTCCCCACAGGCATGGTGATGGAGATGTGGTAAGAGCATTGTTGAAACTCACCACTGCCGAAAACTCACCACTGCCGAAAACACCATGGCCAACAACTCACCATTGCCAAAACCTCCCCATTGCCAAAAACTCACCACTGCCAAAAACTCACCATTGCCAAAACCTACCCATTGCCAAAAACTCACCATTGCCCAAACCTCACCGTTGCCAAAAAATCACCACTGCCAAAAACTCACCATTGCCAAAAATTCATCAGACACAGGTGTGGGAAAAGGCAAATCCAAACGACCACTTTCCAAGAGGAACGGTGCTGCAGCCCCAGTACTGGCACAGGTGAAATCACCCGCTGGGGAGGGCAGGGTTACCTCAGCCAAGTGCCAGGTGCCTCCATTTCCCTCGGAGCAGTGGGACAACCCGCCTGTGGCCAGGCGACTCCGTCCGGCGCCTTCTATCAAAGACAGGCTTTTCTCGGCCCCTTCAGCCGTGCAAGCTGACACCTGTCTACGTTTCCTCCTGGGTGGCCTGGGGGACACAGCCGGTAGCCGAGGGGCCGGTCCACGTGCACAGCGCTACTGGCAGCTAAGGGAGCGTGAGGCAGGAGGAAGCTCACGTTCTCGTCCTCAGAGGGACACACCAGGGGCTTCGGCTGGGAAAAGTCACATTTCAGAAATGAAAGGATTGCTTTGCAGGTGCTCCTGCAGGGTCCTGGGGAGAGGCAGGCTGAGCACAGGTCTCTGGGCCCCCCACACACGTGCCCAGGGCACACCAGGGCCAGCTCCTTTCTGGGCCGAAGTCTGCATTCCACAAATCCTGGAAACACAGGGACAGAGGCACCGTCCCAAACCCTGGATTAGGAGCTCTGAACACTCAGCAGTGGCGGGGACACAGTTAGCGCTTTCCTGCCCGGTGATTTAAATGAAACAGTAGCAGCCGGCGCCAGCTAATGTTTCACACGCAATTCTCTTGAGAAGTCGGCAGATCCGGAAGCGTCAGACTCCAGCTTGCTGCCCCAGCGTGACGCCCCCGCCTGTGTCCCTGCGCTGGGCAGGGGCCCGCCAGGCCTCTGTCAGCTGCATGGCTGGGCGGTCTGGCGTCTGCCATTGTGACTGGTCTATGGGGCAAGACCCACACGCATTTCCTGTACCATCCGCGATCCCACCTAACGGCAGATCCAAATCTAATACCTGGAGTTAGAGTTGTCTTCTACCTGGTATTGCTAAAATATGAATAATCTTTCCAGAATACTGTTTAGAAAACACACCCTTTTCAGAGCTGGCGACCGGCAGTGAACTTCAGGGCTCTCGGCTCAACTCCCTACAGAGTCCGAGTCGAGACCCAGTGCCACCACCCCTGCACTCTGCGCCCGCTGCCCCCAGCGGCAGAGCTCTTACCATGGCCAGGGGGATGACGCCGCTCAGATCCTTCAGGCTCACGTAGATCTTGGACACTCCCAAGTCGGAGGTGATGTCTCTCGGGTATTCCACCTGCCACGTGACGAGCTGCGTGCTCGGGGGGTCACTGGGCTCCTCCACCTCGATGTCAATCTGCATGACTTCGTAAGAGGGGCCGTCCATGCTGGAGAGGAAGTGGAGAATGGCAGTGAGACCTGGGGTGCAGCCACGTGGCTATGCCACAGGTATCTCTCCATGTGCACACGCATGTGGACACCGCTCCAGTGAAGAGCCATCAGAGACAATCACACGGCTATGCCACAGGTAACTCCATGTGCACACGCGTGTGGACATCCCCCCCGTGAAGAGCCATCAGAGACAATCACACGGCTATGCCACAGGTATCTCCATGTGCACACGCGTGTGGACATCCCCCCCGTGAAGAGCCATCAGAGACAATCACACGGCTATGCCACAGGTAACTCCATGTGCACACGCGTGTGGACATCCCCCCCGTGAAGAGCCATCAGAGACAATTACACAGAGGACAAAGCACCTCTCAGGTGCTTTGCGGCTTTCCTGGGCTCAAACACTGCCACCCAAGGCCCCAAATCCCTCTTTCCGAGGGCTGCCCAGGTCCCTCGGGCAAGCATATGTGGATAAAAAACAGTGATGATGTTTTCCAAACACTTTCTTCCCCACTCTCCCCTTGGGAGGGCTCTTTCCCTCTCTCCCGGACATTTCTGTCCCACTCCTGCAGCCCTTCCAAAGCCACGGTCCGTTCACGCTGGGTGCACAGAATGTAAAGGGGGTGGCACTTTGTTTTCTGCAGCGTTGAGAGACTGCAGGGTGCAGAGGTGTGGGCAGGAGCGCAGGGCCAGGGGACCCACACCAGCAACACATGGGATTGCCAGATGCTACCTGGAGCTCGCGGTAATTGTGACAAATACTGGTTTCTTACAGGTGTGCTTCTGGAAACAAATCCAAGTCAGCTTATTTGGGATAATTTCTGCAGCTATTTCATGTGGTTATTTTACATGGTCCATGTCCATGTAGTCAGTTTTCATATTCTCTGCTCCTCCAAGTGACAGGTAAGAGCAAAACAAAACAAAACAAAACAAAAAAACACAAACAGCACTGGGTGCCAGCGACCCTCAGAGGAGGAGGGGAGAGTGTGGGGGGTGCTTGACCTTCTCCCTGCCGGGGCACTCATCCGGACTCCAGTTTTACACTCTCGCAAGAACTGAACTCTGACCTTTGGGAGTCTCAGCGTTGCTGTGGGGGCATCTCTATGACACACGTGTGTGAACCCATGCAAATGTCACACTAAGATGTCCTGAGGCTAAAGGTGGGGCTTCCAGAGAGCCCCCTCCTCCATGTGTGGGATGACTGGGATGGGGGTGATAGGAGAGGAGGGAGGGGGTGGGAGAGAAACGGAGGAGGAGGAGGAAGGAGAGGAAGAATTGCCCAAAGAGAGAGCAGAGAAAACCTCCCAGCCTATGCAGTGTCTCCCACACACAACAGGGGTGGCTGCGATGGACAGGGAACAATGACTGGGGAGATAATGACACCTGGTTTTTTTAATCCTGCACGACACTCTCAGTTCTGTGACTCTCTGAGCGACAGCGACTGTGACAAGAATTGCAGGCAAATCACCTGGGCCATCAGGCAGCTCCCTCCTCCACCTTGCTGTTGTTTTTCTCTGCTTTGTTTGTTTCTTCAAGGAAATACACTTCGCTATGCATAACAAGATGTCATGGGATACCTACACACAGCAGCGTGGCGACAAGAGTGAAGCAAATTAACATACCCATCCATGTATCTGCTACATTGTGTCTGTGTATCTGTTACATTGTATCTATGTGTCTGCTACTTTATGTCTGTGTGTCTGCCTCATTTGTAGCTATGCATCTGCTACATTGTATCTGTGTATCTGCCACATCATCTCTCTGTATCTGTCACATTGTATCTATGTATCCGCTACAATGTATCTACACACCCACCACACTGCATCTATGTACCCGCTACATTGTATCTATGCACCCGCTACTTTGTGTCTATGCATCTGCTGCAATGTATCTATATGTCCACCACACCACATCTATGTATCAGCTACAATGTATCTATGCACCCCCTACTTTGTGTCTGTGTCTGCTGCACTGTATGTGTGTGCCTTCATGCACTCAGCTCTTTGTATTTATGTAAATGCTGCTTTGGGTCTAGTACTCACTTCTGACACTGCACACCTGCTACTTTGTATCTAGGCACCTGCTACTTTACCCATTCAGTTCTTTGTATTTACGCATCTGCTACATTGTGCCTATGTGCCCACTTCTGACACTTCATAGCTAGGTGTCTGCTGCTTTGTATCCTCTGCCCTTCCTGCCTCCCTCCCCAGCCCCTGGTAACCGCTGCCTCACTCTGCTGCTGTAATCTGACTTCATTGTGCTGACTTCCACATGGAAGGGCCCATGTGCTTGTCCCGTGCCTGACTTAGTTCACTTCAGTCTCTTCCCTGGCGTGTAAACAGCAGGACTTCCTTCCTTTTCAAGGCTGAATAATATCCCGTGGCGCTCACATCTCATCTCTCTTCATAAGCCACTTGAAGTTGTCCTTTTAAAGCCTTCAAACTGGCACCATTTTCCACAAGTAGAAGAAACGGTTTTCAGATGCTAGAAGACATCTTTGTTTTCACACCTGGACTTCCTGAGAATGCTGGAATTCCTTGTCCATTGATGAAATGGGACAAATCTCTCTTGACTGTGATTCTATTATAGGACAGAAGTTAGTAGAAGTTGACGTGGGGCCATGGGAATCCCACAAGGCAGCGACTCCTCATAAACAACCCCATGAGCCGGCCCTGTAAGCCCTACGTGGAGATCTACTGTTTCCCCCTAGGTGCCCTCGCCACCAGTAAAGCTGAACTAGCCCTGCGTCCCCAGACAGTTCCCACCCCCACTGCCACCCAGGCTTGCTTATAGCAATAACCACATCAGAAATGTGGTGTATGTCTCCCCAAGTTCTCCCCCCGCCAAGACTGCCTGCAGCACAGTCCACAGAACCCCGTCTCTATTTGCTTCCCCTAACTTGACTCTTTCCATAACTTGATGCGTTTTTTTTTCCTATACAGCTAACGTTTTCCCTTTCCCCTTAGATCTCTCTCCTGGTCCAGCTGTAAAGGCAGCCCGGTCTCCTCTGAGCTGACGTCTGTGCCTTTGATGTGGCGGTGAGAACTCTGCAAGCCGGAATCCTTAACCCGGAGGCCCCAGCAAGCCCAGGAAGGCTGTGGACCTTGAAGCTGTGTGCAGACTTCGCTCGTGTTTTTTCTTGAAAGCTCCCTTAGCCTGCATGGGCCTCTCGGCAGCTCGGATGCAGTGGAGCTGTAGCTAAATCTGTGACGGTGATCTTTCTTCACTCGGTGCATGGTGGTCCACTGCTGGAACATCTCAACACACACACACACCCTGGTGGGTCAGTGGAAATTCGGATTTTAATATCTTGCATTGCGACGTTGAACGTGCCGACTCTGTTCACACATGTGCTTTCTGATGAGACTCACCACTGTAAACGCGTCTCCTGCTCGCTGCATCTCTGCCTGGAGGGCCCTGAGTCCGGGCACTGCCCATCCTGGATGAGAAGGGATGGAAAGGCCATGGCTCAAGCCACGTCCCACCGCACTGCTTCCTCCAGCGCTCTCCCTCCCGGTATTTTCCTTGGCCATGCGACCCATCGATAATTCACCGAAATGCTATTTCCAGGATTCTTGCTACTTGCTGGTGACTGTCCCGGGTGTTGGGGCATAGATTCAACGAGGAGCTCAGAAAAGATGATGAGCGCAGGCCGAAGCCATGCCAGCCTGCTCCACGTTTAAATGCAAGCCGACGAAACAGCTCCCAGCACGGGTGGCAGCCCGGCAGCGTCACCGCCGGCTGCAGCTCCAAGCACGGATCAAGGGGGAGAGCAGGAGGAACACACCTCGGCGTGCACGGCAGCGGGGATCTGCGGGCTCACGCGTGCTTGCTGTCCCCCACCATTACATGTGCATATGTAAACATGCCTATGCATTATACACGCGTGTGTGTAAGAGCACGAGACTGTCTTCTGACTGTGTTCAGCCCCTTTGACAGAGTCACCATCATCTCGCCCAGCGATTCCCCCCACCGGCCACCGTCGTGCTGGCCAATGGCTGCTGCGGATGTACAAGGCAATGGATGTGAGGCAGGTGCATCCCTGTGCCCCTGATGCAGATGGCCCAACCCACCCTCACCCCCACCCCTGAGTGAGGGCAAACGGGAGCAGTGGAAGCAGGGATGCTGCTGTGGGCACGGTGGGTCCTTGCGTCCGGACCCAAGCTACGTGATGCAACTCGGACACCAGGCCAGACCTCACCGATAACCTTCCCACTCTGCACGCGCGCCCTGCCTGTCGACGGCTGTGTGTCCGGATCACGCAGTAGCACCAAACACCACACGCGTGATCGCAAAGGCACACCTGGAGTCTCCTGGAAGACGCCACCTTTCATACAGTCAGTGACTGAAATCCTGCAGCACACGGCCGAGGTAGAGTTGCCTGTTACTGTCTGAGAAAGGAACTCAGCAAGTATGGTGAACGCAGACTCCGCAGAGCGGGCGCTGTGACCCACAGGAGCACGGGGCGGCCGCCGAGAGGATCTGAGGGAGACGGAGGTGACGTCTGCAGGAGGAAGGACTCTGTATCTTCCCAGGAAGCTTCCCGCTCCCACCGGACCCAGGCTGCGCCGGTCTGTGCGGGGAGCAGGCTCACCGTTCTAATGACAACGTTTGCTTACCGAGGAGGGATGACCTCATCTCCCTGGCTTTCAGCTTTGTGTGCAGAAGATGAGGCGGAGCCCACCAAGCCCTGTCCTTCCTGTCGGTGCTACACGTCACCCTACACTGCACATACGCTCGCTTTAAACCATATTGTGGAATACGCCAGCTAACGAGAGCCGGGAGTGCCCCTTGTGTCACCAGGAGGGAGTCGTGGGACTGGAGAGGGAACGATGGAGAGCCAGGGGCTATGCACCATTTTATTAAACACGGACACTCTCCTGTGCTGCCCTGCCTCACCCACCCGCAGTGGGAAAGTGCTCTCCACACCTGAGCTGGGATCTCACGGGCAACAAACAGGAAGGAAATGCAGCTCAGCCTCTCATCTCCACTTCAT